TTCTCAATGGGCCCATTTTGTTTTTACTCGCGCACGACAAAATGTGGATTGTGTTCCTGTGCCGGCACTGTTTGAGGAAAAGAAAAAGAGAACGAACGGGGAGCAAGCACATTAAGTGACTACTTCATGGAAGGGTTTTACCAGGGAAGACGCTTAAAAACATTGCCCCCTGTTGCAGCCAGCAAACATTGTTTGAGCTCCGGGACTTAATTGAGGCTTAGGATTCGGGGTAGGCTCAAGGATCTTAAAACCAAACAAATCCCCTGGAACGGATGAAAATTCACACAAAGGTACACAGTTGCACTTGCAAAATACAAAATACACTTTACTACGCTTTGAAACGTTTCATGGACGGGATAAGGCTCTATATCAAATGCAAGGATTGTTGTGATTGAGGTGAGGAAGGAATCTTGTCGATATTCTCTTCGCCCCTCTCTTTTCGAGTGAATTGCTTGTGAGCCTTAACAGTTAATTCACTTTACGATGTATGCTGTGAAGCTCTTTGAGATGGCTTATTATTATTATTATTTAACATCACCCCCCCCCCCAAATGTGGGACTGTGGCATTTCCTGACTCCTGATGATAAGTGAACTTTCTACCCAGTCTGGATGTAGTCGATTCTGCCCCAGAATGGCTGCAAAACACTGCAGGAACCAGAGAGCTGAATCCTATTTGGTCAGCTACTCACTTGGGAGCATGAGAGAAATGTGAATTTTCGTTTTCCCACACAAAGCTGGAAGTCTAAAAATAATACAACAACGAAAATTGATCTTAAAATAACTCCAGAGCCCATTGTAAACGATGCAGGAGGCTTATAATAATAATAATCCTTACATTTGATATAGCGCTTATCATGACTTCGAGACGTCTCAAAGCACTTCACAGAACATCCTGTAACGTGAATTGACTATATTTTGTGGGCGAAACGCGGCAGCCAATTGCGCACAGCAGCGTCCCCACAAACAGTCGGATTGAGTGGCCAAATTATTATCGATTTGAAAGGATTATTGCGCACCAGAAAGCGATCCACCAATCGACTAACAACCGGGTTCCCATTTACTGTTCGGTAAACGGAGGGGTGTGGAGTAAGGAAACTCGCCCAAGGTTTCGCGCTGCTGGGAATCGAACCCGGGTCCTCTCACTTGCGAGGCGAGTGCTCTAATCGATACAACACGGGACTCCACAATAATTACTCTTTCTGCATTCATACATAGATGGTGGCCACATGCATTGCAATACATACATGTTTTATGGGGAATAAACAAACCGTACTTTTTTCCCCAGGTGGCCCGGTGGTTTGTGCATTCTCGCTTCAGGTGTTGCGCTGGAGAATGAAACTAATCAATCTGTGTCAAGGACTTGCTTGGATGTGCGGTAAAGTCTACACTACTGAAACTGAGGAGAGAGGAGGGTATAGTCCGCTCAGCAGAGTGGGGCAGATAAGTGGCACACACTTCAATATTAAAAATATGTAGTACGTCTGGAGGTAAAATGCTGCGCTGCTGTGCACATTGGCTGCTGTTTTTTCGCCCACAAAATACAGTCAATCCGCTTTATAGTATGTTCTGTGAAGCGCTTTGAGACGTCTCGACATAATGAGGCGACAAATCCGATGCAAAGATTATTATTATTTATTATAAGATAACAAATTGTAGTAAGTTGTCGATCATATTGAGGAACAAAGGGGAGCAGATATATAGATCATTAAAGGTGAGAGTGCGGGTAGAAAGGCACAGTCGAAGGTTTTCAGGCGCGACCTGAAGATGGGGTAGGAGGGGACAAGGCGGGAGGGATTGGGGGAGAGAGAGTTCCAGAGTTTCGGGGCACAGTGGCTGAAAGTGCGGCCACCGATGGTAGAACGGAAGGGACGAGGGATACACAGGAGGCCGGAGGCAGCGGGTAGCGGATTGGGGAGTAAGCAGAGCCTGACCAGAACTGGTGTGATACGGGTACGGAGTTTAGTGCGGTTGAGTGTGTGTGAGTGGATTAACTGGATTTTGCACATTAGTTACAGTCACGAGGATCGTTTTCACAGAGGGCTAATGAGGCATCGGATAGAGGGCCTCGTAAATGCCGAGGAAAATCTGCACCATTTTCTAATTTCTTTGAATGTTTTCAAGCGTTTGTTACCATGACGTTAGCAGTGACTGAGGGCAGTTGGGAACTCAGGTCTGTTCGAGCTGCTGTGAGAATGTTAGGGGAATTTCAGTGCTTGACATAAAACCTGACTTTATGGGTGCCGTAAAACACTTAAAAAGCTTTTATATATATATATATGTGTGTGTGTGTGTGTGTGTGTGTGCGCATTGTAAATCAAAGGCCAGGGACAGATGGTTTGTGATAACCGCTCGTATACCTGTCCCAAGTGGACAAAAGTTGTCTTGCATACTGCGTTTGGCAATAAAATAATTTTCCCACCCTTTTCTCTCTCTCTCTGTCTAAAGGATCGACAAGGACAACTTTTCTTTCAGCGCTGCGTTGATATTGCAGATCCGCTATTTGAGGCTGCGGCGAGAGTATAAGTTGCAATTTACATATAATAATACAATAACAATCCTTGTATTTGATGTAGCTTCTTGTCTCGCAGAACGTATTGCAAAGTGGAGTGACGGTGTATTTGTGGGCAGAGCGCGGCAGCCAATCACACACAGCAGTGTCCCACAAATGGTCGTGGAGTGAGTGCCCAAATTATTATTAACTTTGAAGTGGAAAGTGATCTGACAATTGACTAACAAGCGGCTTCCTACTTACTGCTAGATAAAGAGGCACGTGGAGTAAGGTAACTTGCCTAAGGTTTCACCTTGCCTGGGGATCAAATCCTGGTCAAGTGGTACAGCGCCTTTCTCACCAGGACGACGTCCCGAAAGGTTTCACAAGATACACTGTAAAGTGGAGTGACTGTGTTTTGTGGGTGAACGTGGAGGCCAATTTGCGCACAGCAACGTCCCACAAACAGCCACTTTTAAAGCAACACTTTTACCCACCAGGCCAGGCGTTCAGGGAAATCTATGCTAATTTTCTTTTCAAGAACAAAATTGTAATCAGATCTCTCCTCTTTGAACAAAGCCTTGCTCCTGACAAAGTGATTTAAGATGAACTTGGGACCCATTTTAACGTGTGTTTACAATCTACAGGAAGGCCAATTCCTGTTAAAAATAACTCAGATGTTATCTGAAATCCAAAGCTTTGCTTTGGCAGATCTGCAAGGATGGGTTTGTTTTTGCTCAGTAAGAGACATCACTGTGATTCAGAAAGAAACTCACACATAACTGAATAATAATAATCCTTGCATTTAATAATGACCTTATCACGTCATTGAGACGTCTCAAAAAGTTTCACAGAATATGCTGTAAAGTGAAATGACTGTATATTTTGTGGGCAAAACCCGGCAGCCAATTATGCACAGCAGCGTCCCACAGTGGGTTATTGAGTGACCAAATTATTATTTTTTTTCAAGGGATTCTTTCAAGGGAAAGTGGTCGATTCACAAGTAGGGTTCCTGCGAGGTGTGGAGTAAGGAAACTTGCCTAAGGTTTCGCCCGCCAGGAATCGAACCCAGGTCCTCTCACTTGTGAGGCAAGAGTGCTAACCACTATACTTCCATACCTCACCTAGAATGGGTGTTGCAATGTACACATCACAGAGTGACAGAGACGAACCAGATGTTGTGGAAATGATAAAGTACATATTTCTTGGTCTACAACAACAACAACAACAAGATTCCATTGATAGAGCGCCTTTCACGGCGGGAGGACGTCCCAAGGTGCTGGACAGTTGGGTCAGGACCCGAGCAGGTGGGCGTTAGAGATCCCATGGCACTCATGGCATTCAAAAAGAGAAACGAGTTTCTCTCTCCCGATGTCCTGGCCAACAATCCCCCCAAATAAAATTGATCACTTGCTCCCATGGCTGTTTGTGGGACATTGTTTTTGAGGGATTATTATTCTCGGAGAAGCGATCCACCAATCGACTAACAAAAGTTGAACAATGTCAAACAGATGAGGTGTTAAACCTCCAGGTCTCAATCTGCATGTTCAAGTGGACGTTAAAACATCTCCATCGTAGCAACGAGAGAGGACGAGTCGGGAGTTCTCGTGCTATCCTGGACAGTATTCCTCCCTCTTCCAAATTAGAATTTGGAGTCCTGAAGCCTCGCTAGCGAGAGGACCCGGTGGGGCAAAACCTGAGGCGAGTTTCCTTACTGCACACACTGAGCAGGAAGTCGGATCCCGGTTGTTAGCCAATTGATCGATGGCTTTACGGGGTAATAATCGCTTAATAATTTGGTCACTTAATCCACGACTGCAGCGTTTTGCCCACAAAATAATAACAAAAGGGATTACGCGGACAAGGCGGGTGGGTGGAGTCAGAATAGATCAGCCATGATCTTATCGAAGGGCGGGGCAGGCTAGAGGGGCTGAATGGCCTCCTCCTGCTCCTAATCCATATGTTCTTGTAACAAAATCCTTGCATTGGGTGCAGCGCCTCACCGCGTCGCGAGGACGCCGCGAAGCGCTGCGCGGGATACGCTGCAAAGTGAACCCACTGTGTATTCTGGGGGCGAAGCTGCAGTCAATCCGCTTTACGCTATATCCTGAGGAGAGAGGGTTTGGAGACGTCTCGATGACCCGAGTCCACCTCGGACCACCCTGACCCTTGCAGGGTTAAACAGGAGCTGAGGGGGAAGACCCCCCCACCACCAGTGACTGGTCTGCCCTTCCAGGTCCAGCTCTATCCAGCCAATGTACCGTGCGTCACCAGCAGGGGGAGCAGTGAGACCACATCACACACACACACACCAGGAGGCTGGGCGGTCCTCCAGGCCGCCAATCGGGAGGACCCGGCAGCACCTCGGGCGGAGCGAGCGAGGGAGCGTGGGAGGTCGGCTCTTGCCCCCGCAAGCGGCTGACTCCGCTCGTTGACTCGCGCCTGCGCGCTGGTGAGAGGGAAGGTGTGGGGGGGGGGGGGGGAGGGTCAAGGAGCCGCCGCCCGCCCGCCCTCCGCCGCCGCCATGTTCCTTCAGCAGATTCGCCAGAAACGAAAAAAATATTTTGATGGCTTTCTGAACTTCGTGAAGCGGCTGCCGTCGAGCGGCTCGACATAAAAAAGGCGGGAGGCCTTTATTTATATGATTTGGTCGGGGCTCAATGGAGCAGCAGGCGCCAGGTCAGTCATTGAGGGCGATAGTTTTTTTTTCCGCCCCCCCCCCCGCCTTTCCCTCCCCTCCTCTTTCGAGGGAAAAAATTAAAGTAGAATAATAATCAATAATAATAATGATAACTGTATTGTTAGGGGCCCGGAACCGACGGTTTCCGACGAGCGCGACCGCCCCCCCACCCCCCGCCCGCGCTCGCGCTGGGGCTGAGCGGGACGGGGAACAGCCGTTTAGACGGCAACTGCCAACCGTCACCCCTCACCCCCGCGCGCCTGATGGACGGGCCGCTCTCGCCGCTCATTGGCTCCCGCAGCGCCCGCCCCCTCCCCCTCTCCCCTCCGCCCATTGGGTCGCCGCGCACGCCGCTCAGGTGGGAGGTTCGCTCGCTTTTCATTGGTGGCCCGGACTGTCACACACACACACATACACACTCATACAGACACACACACACACAGATACACACACACACACACAGATACACACACACACACACAGATACACACACACACACAGATACACACACATACAGACAGACAGAGACACACACACACACAGACAGAGACACACACACAGACAGAGACACACACACAGACAGAGACACACACACAGACACACACATACACAGATACACACACACACATACAGACACACACACATACAGACAGACAGAGACACACACACATACAGACAGAGACACACACACAGACAGAGACACACACACAGACACACACACACACACACAGAGATACACACACAGACACACATACAGACAGAGACACACATACAGACAGAGACACACACACACACAGAGACACACATACAGACAGAGACACACATACAGACAGAGACACACATACAGACAGAGACACACACATAGACAGAGACACACATACAGACAGAGACACACACACACACAGAGACACACATACAGACAGAGACACACATACAGACAGAGACACACATACAGACAGAGACACACACATAGACAGAGACACACATACAGACAGAGACACACACACAGAGACACACACAGACACACACACACAGACACACATACAGACAGAGACACAGACAGAGACACACACACACATACAGACAGAGACACAGACACACATACAGACAGAGACATACATACAGACAGAGACACAGACACACATACAGACAGAGACACATACACACAGAGACACACACAGACAGAGACACACACAGACACACACACATAGAGAGATACACACACACATAGAGAGACACACACACAGAGACACACACACACACACATAGAGACATACACACATAGAGACACACACAGACACACACACATAGAGATACACACACACAAATATACACACACAGACACACACACACACAAACATACACACACAGAGACACACACACATAGAGACACACACACAAACATACACACACAGAGACACACACACACATAGAGACACACACACAAACATACACACATAGAGACACACATACACACACACACACATACACACACATATATACACACACATACATACATACACAGAGACACACACACACACATACATACATACATACATACATACATACATACATACATACATACATAGAGACACATACAGAGACACATATATACATACAACAACAACAAAATAATAATAATAATCCTTGCATTTGATATAGCGCTTTTCACGTCTTCAAGACATCTCAAAGCGCTTCACAGAATAAAGTGAATTGACTGTATATTTGTGGGCGAACGCGGCAGCCGATTGCGCACAGCAATGTCCCACAAACAGTCGTGGATTGAAAATGACCAATTTATTATTGTTTTGGTTTTGGAGGGATTATTATTAGGCTCTGTGTGGAGTAAGGAAACTTACATTTATGGAGCGCCTTTCATGTCGGGACGACGTCCCAAAGCGCTGAACAGTCAGGTGTCGGGGCCCGAGCGTGGGGGGGAGGGGTGGTGTAGGGGTGAGGGAAGGCAGAGAGGTGGGAGGGAGACCAAAGGCATGGTCGAAGAGAAGGGTATTGAGACCGGCCTTGGAGGAGGCGAGGGAGGAAGCGAGGTGAAGGGACCGTGGGATGGAGTTCCAGAGTGTGGGGGCAGAGAGACTGAAAGCCCGGCCACTGATGGGTGGGTGGGTAGGGCAGGAAACATACATGCATACATATATACATACATAGACACACACAACACAGAGACACATACATACACACACATACACACACACAGAGTCACACACACATACATACATGCATAGACGCACACACATATATGCACACGTAGAGACACATACATACATACATACATACATACACACACACACACACACACACACATACATACATACATACATACATACATACATACATATACACACATACACACATACATACATACATACATACATACACGGACACATACATATACACACACATATATACATGCATAGAGACACATGCATACATACAGAAGCAGAGATAAATACATACACACAGACCACATACATGCACACAGACAAACACGTATATACATACACACACAGACATACACAGACACACACGTACACACACATACACACACAGGTACACACATACATAGTGACAAAGACATACGCATACATAGTGACAGAGAGACAGACACAAATACTGATAGTGACAGAGAGAGACGCACACACAGTGACAGAGATACACATGCATACAGACACACATGCACACGCGCGGACACACATACACATAATGACGGAGAGAGACACGCACACAGAGAGACACACACGTACATTGTGACAAAGAGACACATACAATGACAGAGAGACACAGACATATATACACAGTAACAGAGACATCCACATAGTGACAGAGAAACCCACACAGAGAAACATAAACATATACACACACATAGACACGCACATACACACGTAGAGACACAATCATATACGCACACATTGACACATATATACATACAGTGACAGAGACTCACACACAGAGACACACATACATATAGTGACAGAGACATATACACAGTGACAGAGATATACACACACACAGATACACATAGTGAGTGACAGGGAGACACTCATACACACACAAACACACAGATACACATAGTGACAGACACACAGAGACACATAATGACAGAGACACACACACATAGTGACAGAGAGAGACACACAAAGTGACATAGACCCACACAGTGACACACAGGGAGATACACACAGTGGCACACATATAGAAAGACAGAGAGAGAGAGAGAGAGAGAGACACACACGCAAAGTGACAGACACACACAGTGACACTCAGAGACAGACACACACTGCGAGGGAGACGGGCGAGTGAATTGGAGGGAGTGGGGGAGATGCGGCAAGGGGGAGAGAGCATGGGACAAGGCGAGAGTGAAGGGGTGAGGGGACACGGATGGGGGGGTGGCGATGAGAGAGAGGATTATAGCGTGGCTTGGGCAGGAGTCAGAAAGTCTGGGACCCTATCATTCTAATTTGCGATCATCTTGCTCACTTTTACTGTAAATTTACCCCCTCTATTAGATCTGGTCTCCATCTTCATGTGCAAACTTTGCAATCTCTTCTCCCCGAACCGAGATCAGCTGCTGGTTCACGTTTCGGAGCAGCACACAGAGGAAGGCACAGCTCCAGACGATCTCATCGTTCCACTGCGACCTCTGTCTGTCCCCGAGAAAGCTACGCCAGGCGACAAAGGTATGGGAGCGCCAGGATATCCCACGCTTCACTGAAGGGGCTGGGTCCCGTCATTGATTTTGTTTTGGTCAGCTGGGTGTCTCACACTCCCTCTCCCTGCGCCCGCCGCCCCCCCCCCCCCCCACCCCCCCTTGTAACGTCGCTAAGAGTGAAATAACATTCACGGCTGTTTTTTTGAGGGACGCTGCTGTGCGCAATTGCCTGCCGCGTTTCACCCTCAAAATTTACAGTCAATCCATTTTACAGTATATTCTGCGTAATGGTTTGAGAGGTCATAATTAATATTGCAATAGACAATGGAGATACGCAATAACAGGTATTGTGGACTGTGAGCGCGGAACACAAGGACGGGCCTCTAAAATGAACGTGCGAGTTTCGCATTCATTTGCTCCGGCAGAGCAGTGGGACATGTGGAAACTTCCTAGCAAAATGCATTGATGTGACATGACCCCACCTCTGCGTGTGCTGTCTGTACCCTCGCTCAGGAGTCCTCTAGCTCAGTGGTTAGACCACTTGCCTCGCAAGCGAGAGGACCCGGGTTTGATTCCTGCAGAGCCAAAAGTTGGGCAAGTTTCCTTACTCCACACGCCTCTGTTTACCCAGCAGTAAGTAGGAACCCGGTTGTTGCTTTCTAGGTGTAATAATCCCTTAAAAAAACAGAAAAACAAAATGAAGTCACTCAATCTCAATTAGATAATAATTTGGTCACTCGATCCACGACTGTTGGTCGAACACTGCTGTGCGTAATTGGCTGCCGTGTTTCGCCCACAAAATATACAGTCAATTCACTTTGCAATATATTCTGTGAAATTCTTTGAGACGCCTGGAAGAAGTGATTAGCCGCTCTATCAAATGCAAGGATTATTATTAATAAATAGTAAGCCTCCCACTTATGTTAAGTTAACAGCATCACCTCGCTCCCTCACTTGTCTCCTTCAAGGCATGTCTCAAGACCCTTCTCTTTGACTGCACCTTCAGTCACCATCTGACCCCTACCCTCCCTGCCCTCCACCCCTCCTGATCCCCAGCTCGGGTTCAAATCCCTGACCTCCCAGCGCCTTGGGATGTCCACAGGACGTGAAAGGCGCCGTGCAAATGTAATGTGTTGTTGTTGTGAAGCTGGTCCTATTAGCCGAATGTCCCTCGGACACCTCTGCCTCCCCTCATTCTTGTTTTCCTTCAGTGAACACAGCTGTGAAGAGGAAGAGGGGAAGGCCCAAAGGTTCCAAGAAAAAATTTGTATCCGAAGTGCAGGACACCGGAGACGCCGGCAGTTCCAACCAAAGTGCGGAAAGCAAGCCCGAACAGGAAGAAGGGGAGTCGGAAGAGGGGGACAGCCTGGACTGCAGGAAGTGCAGCCGCAAGTTCTCCAACAAGAGGCAGCTGAGGAAACACCGCTGCTTTGTCGTTCTGAAGGACGACGGCGAAGAGGCAGAGGCAGAAGAAGGTAATAATAATAACGCTAAAAATCCTTCTATTTGATACGGCGCCTTATCACGTCTTCGAGACGTCTCAAAGCGCTTCCGAGGATAGACTGCAAAGCGGAGTGACTGTATTTCATAGGCGAAACAAGTTCTGACGTGGGCCTTGGACGACAACCTTCTGACTTGGAGGCGAGAGCGCTACCACTGAGCCACAGAATTGGGAGTAAGCCCTCCACGTTCCTCCCCGCCCAGCCCACATCACTTGACCGGCGGTCAAGTCTTCAGCCTCTCTGCCCCCACCCTTTGGAACTCCATCCCACGATCGCTTCGTCTTGTCCGTTCCCTCCTTCAAGGCCTGTTCAAGACCCTCCTTTTCTTCCACAAGTTCGCTCGCCCTCCTGCCCCTACCCTCCCTGTCCTCCACCCCTCTTGATCCCGACCCCCAGCTCGGGTCCAAATCCCTGACTGTCCAGTGCCTTGGGATGTCCTCCCGACGTGAAAGGCACTGTGTAAATGTCGTTTATTGTTGTTGTTAAGTCGTGCCGGTGCTCACAGGGCTGTGTGCTTGATCTCCCTCTCATTCCCTCTCCCCCCAGACAAGAGCGATCTTGAAGTAGAGTTGGACGGAGAGAAGAAGGACGACGACAGAGACCGGGTGGTAAAAAGGCCACGTTTACCAAAGAACGAGAAGTTGACGTCTAAAGATGTTGAGCAGAACGTAGCTGGAAAGAACCCCATTATCAGTGTGGTTCTCACAGCTCATGAGGCCATTCCAGGTGAGTAGTACCACACACACTGACTGTGGGGTCCTGGCTATAAGTAGTGGTTGGTAAAGTGGTAACTTGGGGCCTTAACCTTAGGCAAGTTTCCTTACTCCACACGCCTCTATTTACCAAGCAGTAAGTCGGAACCTAGTTGTTAGTTGATTGGCTTTACGATTGGCTCAAAGCGCTTCACAGAATATACTGTAAAATGTAGTGACTGTATATTTGTGGGCGAAACGGGGCAGCCAATCGCACACAGCAGTGTCCGACAACAGTCATGGATTGAAGTGACCAATTTTTTTTTAAAAGTAATTATTACCCCCGGAAAAGTGATCCGCCAATCGACCAACAACTGTGTTCCTACTTACTGTTAGGTAAACAGAGGCGTGTGAAGTAAGGAAACATTCCCAACATTTCGCTCTGCCGGGAATTGAATCCAGGTCTCTCGCTAGCGAAGCGAGTGGTCTTAACTACTGAACTACAGGTCCCCACAAATAATAATCTGGTCACTCAATCCACAACTGTTTGTGGGACACTGCTTTGCGTAATTGGCTGCCCTATTTCGCCCACAAAATATACAGTCAATTCACTTCACAGTATATTCTGTGAAGCACTTTGAGACGTCTCAATGACGTGATAAGGCGCAATATCAAATGCAAGGATTATTATTATTATTACCCAATGGCCCATCATGGCCAGATGCCAGTCTGGCTCAGATGGTAGCATTCTCGCTTCTGAGTGAGAGGGTACGTATATGGATTGGGATGAGACATCAAACCGAGGTCCCTGTTGCCTGTTCAGGTAGATGTTAAAGAGCTCGTGGCGCTATTGGAAAAGAGAAGGGAGTTTCTCTCTCCTGGTATCCTGGCCAACAATCCCCCAAATAAAACTGGTCTCTCAATCCACAGCTGTTTGTGGGATGTCGCTGTCTGCAATTGTGCTGCCGCATTTCGCCTACAAAATACACAGTCTATCCACCTTATAGCAAATCCTGCAATGCGTCTTGAGACGTCTCAACAATGTGAAAAGGCGCTATATTGAATGTAATTATTGTATTATTGTATATTTATTCTTCTGTAAACTTGCACCTGCTTTTCTGGATTGGCGAAGTAATATGGAGGAGAAGGAGGGGGGAGAGAGGGGTCAGTGCAGTGCTCTGCCTTTGATGTTGACGAGATTCAATGACATGAAACTCATATTTTGAGCATTCCAGGTGCCACAAAAATTATTCCTATTGAGGCCACACCAGCTGAGGAGACACCAGCGGCTGAGCCCGAAAGTAGTAGCCAAGAGTCAGCTCTGCGCAAGGGTTACCAGGAATATGCAATCCAGCAGGTGCCATTGGAGCTAGCCCAGAGCTCCTTCAGGTGGGTCCCACACAGAACACAAACACACGGAAACCACTGTTTAGAGTGCTTGCCTCGCAAGCGAGAGGACTTAGGTTCGATTCCCGGGCCAGGGCGAAACCTTAGGCAAGTTTCCTTACTCCGCACGCCTCTGTTTTGTGGGACGCTGCTGTGCGCAATTGGCTGCCGTGATTCACCCACAAAATACAGTCAATTCACTTTACAGTGTATTCTGTGAAGCGCTTTGAGATATCTTGACGACCTGATAAGACGCTAAATCAAATGCAAGGATTATTATTATGTGGCAAAAACAGAGTCTGGAAGGGTATAGAAAGAGAGGAACATCCTTTATAATAATAATATAAAGCATTGTGCCGGCACAGGCACAATGGATTGAATGGCCTCCTTCTGTGCTGTAAGATCCTATGAATAATAATCCTTCCATTTGATACAGCCCCTTATCACGTCGTTGAGACGTCTCAAAATGCTTCACAGGAATATACTGTAACGTATAAACCAGTGGTGGCCAACCGGTCAAAGAAGTGGCTCGCACTAGTCTTAAGTAAGTCTTTTTAATCAATGTTTTGTTTCCTTTTTTTCTTGATTGGATATATCTCTTTTGTAGCATAAATCGAGAAACGGCCGATCAAGAAGATTCATTTTTTTGGGCCGACCAAAAAAGGTTGGCCACCAGAGTGTTAAACCAAAGTCACGTCTGCCTGCCCAGACGGACGGTAAAGATCCCAAATTTGCTGTGTGCATAATATTGCTGCGGTCGCCTACAAAGGACAGGAGGTTTCCTGTTCCCAACCCCCTGCTTGGGTCCAAATCCCTGACTGTCCGTCCAGCGCCTTGGGACGCCCCAGCCATCCCAACACGAAAGGCGTTGTTGTGTAAATGTCATTTGCTCTTGTTTTTTTCTAAGAAAAACTGTTCTCCCTTTGCAGGCAAGGGACCACCCAGCTGAAGATCTTCACCTGCGAGTACTGCAATAAAGTCTTCAAGTTCAAGCACTCGCTGCAAGCCCACCTCCGCATCCACACCAACGAGAAGCCTTACAAGTGCCCGCAGTGCGAGTACGCCAGCACCATCAAGGCCAACCTGATCGTGCACATGCGCAAACACACGGGGGAGAAGTTTGCCTGCGATTACTGTGCCTTCACCTGCCTGAGCAAGGGCCACCTCAAGGTGCACGTGGAGCGGGTCCACAAGAAGATCAAGCAGCACTGCCGCTTCTGCAAGAAGAAGTACTCGGATGTCAAGAACCTGCTCAAGCATATGCGGGAGATCCACGACCTGCAGGAGGAGAAGGTGAAGGAGGCTTACGATGAGCTGAGGCTCCTGACGAGGGAGGGCAAGCGGCAGCTGCTGTACGACTGCCACGTGTGCGAGCGCAAGTTCAAGAATGAGTCGGACCGCGACCGGCACATGCTGGTCCACGGGGACGACCGGCCCTTTGCCTGCGAGTTGTGCGACCACGGGGCCACCAAGTACCCCTCGTTGGAGGCCCACGTCCGCAAGCACAAGTTCGTCTACATTTGCGCGCTGTGCGCCAAGAAGTTCGTCAGCTCCATCCGGCTCCGGTCCCACATCCAGGACAGCCACGGACGGCCGGCAGAGCAGGAGCTGTCGGTCTTCAACGACTCCATCAACCGCAGCTTCTATCTCCTGGAGCCGGGAGGCGACATCCAACCCGAGGCCCTGGAGGACCAGGAGCTGACGGCGCTGGTGGCAGTTGACGGCTTCGCCAGGGGGCCAAGCGGGAACGCGGAAGGCGACGGGCGGGGCAGGGGGGCTCCTCCCGCAGAGGTGATCCCCGCGGAGAGCCTGGCTCAACGAGAAGAGGGGGAGCGCCGTCCGGGGACACCGCATGTCGCGGAACTCACCACCCCGCATAAGGAGACGCCCGCTCCCGGGCTCCCGGTGGGGGGCAATGCGGGAGGCTGGCCTGGAGAGGGGGAGGGGGAGGCCGAGCCTTCACCGGCTCTGCCCGTCAGCAGCGCCACGCTGCTGGACCCCGAGGGGGCGGAGAAAAGCGAGCAGCCCGGAGACGGGGATGGGGACGGGGACAGAGACGTCGCCGAGACCCTCGCAGGGCATCCCGAGTCTCCTCAGCTCCGAACCTCGTTGGACACGGCATCCCTGGAGCAGGGGAAGGAAGCTCCGGTGAGCTTTCAGGAAGTCCTCTCCTCACAGGCTCAAAAGGACAGCGTGGACCTCGGAGCCTTCCAGCAGGTTCTGGACAGTTTGCAGAAGCGACAACTGAACTTTGGTCTGTTTGAGAAGATCAGGAAGGTCTATGGGGATCTTGAATGTGGCTACTGTGGTAAGGAACCCTCCATACTTTCAGTGTTCGATCTTGATGCTGTTCAGTTCTGCCACTATTATGATAATAATAATAATAATAATAATCCTTGCATTTGATACAGCGCCTCATCACATGGCTGAGACGTCTCACAATGCTTGCTTCACAGAATAAATTGTGAAGTGTGGCGATTGTGTATTTTGTGGACGAAATGCAGCAGACGATTGCGCACAGCGGCGTCCCACAAACAGTCATGGATTGAGTGACCACATTTTGTTTTCTTGGAGGATTATTACCCCCGCGGAAAGCGATCTGCCAATACTACTTACGTATGTATTACATAAACACTACGTAAACAGTGGCATGTGGAGTAAGGAAACTTGCCTAAAGTTTCGCCTCGCAATTGAGGGCTACAGATATGCTACAGGACTCCTTTAAGAAGCTCTCATTCTTTAATATCCATCAGAGAATGGACTGAGGAGTTTTAGGAACAAAGGAGGCACATTGAGCCTGCTCTACCAGTTTATAAGTCTGTCAGGTCAGATCCGAGGAGACTTTTCCTCCCAGACCCTTCTCCAAGGACGGCTACAATTTTTCAATCTTCGTTGGACACCGGAGTGGTGCCCGAGGACTGGAGAGTGGCCAATGTGACTCCCCTGTACAAAAAGGGACAGAAGGACAAACCTGGGAACTCCAGGCCAGTCAGCCTAACATCAGTAGTGGGGAAACTCCTGGAGACTATAATCCGTCACAGAATACACCTTCACTTAGAAGAATATGGGTTAATGAGGGACAGCCGCACGGATTTGTTAAAGACAAATCTTGTCTAACAAATCTAATAGAATTTTTCGATGAGGTAACGGAGAGGGCGGATAAAGGCAGTGCAGTTGATGTAGTTTATGTGGACTTTCAAAAGGCATTTGACAAAGTGCCACATGAAAGACTTGTAAGAAAGATAGAAGCCCATGGTATAAAAGGGACAGTGGCAGTGGATCCAGAACTGACGGGAGACAGAAAGCAGAGAGTTGTGGTGAACGGCTGCTTTTCTGACTGGAGGGAAGTGTACAGTGGTGTCCCCCAGGGATCGGTATTAGGACCACTGCTCTTCTTAATATACATAAATGATCTGGACTTGGGTATAGCAAGTACCGTTTCCAAGTTTGCGGACGACACAAAGTTAGGGAGGGGGTAAACAGTGAGAAGGATAGGAGCCGACTGCAGGAAGACATAGGAGTTTCAATGTAGAGAAATGCGAAGTAATGCATTTTGGTAGAAAGAATGAGGGGAGGCAGCACAGGGAGATAAGGCTGTAAAAAGGGCATATGGGATACTGGGCTTTATAAATAGGGGCATAGAGTACAAGACTCAGGAGGTGATGATTAACCCATATAAACACTGGTTAGGCCTCAGTTAGAATACTGCCCCAGTTCTGGGCACCGCACTATAGGAAGGATGTTAAGACATTGGAAAGGGTACAGAGGAGATTTACGAGGATGGTACCAGGAATGAGGGACCGTGATGATGAGGAAAGGCTGGAGAGGTGAGGATTATTCTCATTGGAGCAGAGAAGGCTACGAGGAGACCTAATAGAGGTCTTCCAAAACATGAGGGGATTTGATAGGTTAGAGAGGGAAAAACTGTTTGCACTGGTGGGTGTGTCGGTGACTCGAGGTCACAGATTCAAAATAGTATCTAAAAGAAGCCGAGGGGAGGGGAGAAGAAATGTTTTCACGCAGCGAGTTGTTCGAATCTGGAACAGGGCGGTGGAGGCCAATTCGATAACTACTTTTAAGAACACGGTGGACGGGTATTTGAGGAGGACGGGTTTGCAGGGTTATGGGGAAAGGGCCGGGGAGTGGGATTGACCTTACATTGCTCTTTTCAAAGAGCCGGCACAGACTCGATGGGCCGAATGGCCTCTTTTTGTGCTGTACGATTCTATGATTCGATGTTTAACCATGCGTCAGCATATTGCCTCCAGACAGACTTGGGGTAATGCCTCGTCCCAAAGGTCACCTCTTGGTTGCTCTTTTCACTTAGGTCGTCTGATTGCGTTCGCAAATGCTTCCACAACCCTGCCCCTCCCTACTCTCTGCTAACTCCGCATGGACCCGTCCGCTTCCCTACGCCAACCGTCTCCAGCCTGCACCATGTCCCCCGCACGGACCCTCCCCACCATTGGCGTTCGGGCCTTCAGCCTCTCTGCTCCTACCCTCTGGAACTCCATCCCACAGTCTACCCACCTCGCCCCCTCCCTTGGCTCCTTGAAGACCCTCCTCTCCGACCATGCATTCGGTCAACCTCCTGCCCCGCCACTGCCCTCCAGCCTCCCGACCCTCAGCTCGGGTCCAAAACACCGATTGCTCAGCTCCTCCCGACGTGAAAGGCGCTATACAAATGTGACTCTGTTGTTGTTGTCGTCGTCGTCGTCAGGGGGCGTGAGGGATGCAAACCAAAATGTAAGTTCTAGGCCGGCCACTAGGTGGCACTATTGCAACCTGTTGAGATGTGCGTGTGTTGAATTTCTTATTTGTTTTCATCTGCGAAGATGGCGACTCGTGTTTAAGTGCCGTCCTCGGGGAAGGGAGGGGTCTACGAGGTAAACAGAGTCTCCTCGGAACTGACCTGACAGGCCTACAAACTGGTATATAGGTTTTCAACAGTTCAGTGTTCCAAGTGAGACAGCTATTTACGTGTACCGGCACCAAAGTAGTCCACTGCATCCGCCGCTCACCATCAGGTCTCCTCTCTCACTGGGGAGACCGAACGCAGGTTGGGCGACCGATTTGCCGAACGCCTCCGTTCTGTCCGCAAGCACGACCCTGAGCTTCCGGTTTCTTGCCACTTCAACTCTCCCTCCCAGTCCCTTCAACTGACCTCTCCATCCACGGTCTCCTACGCTGCTCCAATGAGCCACAGCGCAAGCTCGAGGAACACCTCACGTATCTGCTGGGGACCTTACAGCCCTCTGGCCTCAATATTGATTTCAACAATTTCAGACCAGGACAGCTCACCTTCCCCCTCTTCTGTGACCATCACCACATCATCTGGGTGCCAGAAACACCTTTTCTCTCTCTCTGGTCTGCCTGTTTCAATTTCCCCACCCCACCCCCTTTGTTTTGCATCATTAACACCTCTTTAACCCATCATACCCTGACCTCTACCCCATTTTCTTCTCTTGTCTCCTTTGCCCTGCCTCCGCCACTCTCTGTTAGTCCTTAAAAGCCTCTCCCTCCCAACATACCCCAGTTCTGACAAAGGGTCACGGACCCGAAACGTTGACTCACGTTCCTTTCTCCATAGATGCTGCCCGACCTGCTGAGTGTTCCCAGCGACTTTTGTTTTATACACTGATAGGGCAGGCTCAATGGGCTGAACACCCTCCTCTGTTCCTAAATTGCATAGTCCGTCCTACATCCACAGACTTTTTCAACGTAGCACACTCTCTCAACCCTCCGTGTCCCGAAACCCTCATACATCTGGTACCTACAGCCTTGACTATTCCAATTCCTTCCTCGCCAGTCTACGTAGCTCCACTATCCACAAAATCCAGAGATCGCTTTTCCGGGGGTAATAATTCCTTCACAAACAATTAAATGAATAATAATAATTTGGTCATTCAATCCACGACTGTTTGTGGGACACTGCTGTATGCAATTGGCTGCCGCGTTTCACCCGCAGAATATAGTCAGTTCACTTTACAGTATATTCTGTGAAGTGCTTTGAGACGTGATAAGACACTATATCAAATGCAAGGATTTTTATTATTATCCAGAACTCCACCACCTGCATACTCACCTGCACTAAACTCCGTAACCCCATAACACTAGTCGTTGCCAGGCTCCACTGGCTCTCTATCACCAAACGGATTGCTTTCAAGATTCTCACGCTCAACAACAACAACAACTTGGATTCATATAGCGCCCTCCACTCCGGACAGCGTCTCAGAGTCATCTTCAAATCCCCTCATGCCCTATCACCTCCTTACCTCTCCAACCTGCTTACCCCCCCTCTCCACCACTGGTCGCGTCTGCTCGACTAACTCCAGCCTCCTGTGTGTACCTCATGCCTTCCGTTCCACCATTGGCAGCCGCCCTTTCAGCCATTACTCCCAGAAACTGCAGAACAGTCTACCCCAATCCTTCCGTCTTGCCCCTCCTGCCCAAGTGCTCTGGGACGTTACCCTGCCTGAGGGGCGCTATATAAAAGCAAATTGTTGTTGTTACCCCATCTTCAGGTTGTGTCTGAAGACAACAACAAGTCACGCATTTATTTGAATGTAAAAAACCCAAAAAACAAATCACCCCGTCCGTTGCCTCCTTCAAGGTCTGTCTCAAGACTTCCCTGTTCGACCGCACTTTCTTTCACCCTCCTACCTTACTCTCCCTGCCCCCCACCCCTTCTGATCCTAACCTCCAGCTCGGGTCCAAATCCCTGACTGTCCAGTGCCTTGGGTCGTCCTCCCGTCGTGAAAGATGCTGCGTAAATGTTATTTACTGCTGTGGTTGATGTTGATGATGATGATGATGTATTTTATGGTGCTTCTTTCTTTGTTTCTCTTCCCGCTTCCTCCCTCGCCCCTTCCTCTCCTCCTCTTCCTCTCCCCCCCACCCCCCCCCTCATTCCCGAAGGGAAATTGTACTGGTATCAGGTACACTACGACATGCACATTCGGACCCACACCCGGGAGCACCTGTACTACTGCTCCCAATGCAGCTACTCCTCAATCACCAAGAACTGCCTCAAGCGTCACGTGGTGCAGAAACACAGCAACATCCATCTCAAGTGCCCGGCTGAGGGCTGCTTATACACCACGGCAGACAAGTACAAGCTGCAAGCCCACCAGAGGAACCACAGTGAGCTGGTAGGTCCCACGGTTCAGAGAGAGTGGTCTCTGCCTCCACCCCCCTCCCCGCCCCCAACCCACAGCGCCCTCCAAGCAAAGCCCTGGAAGCCACCGAACCACTGGAGAGGTTTTGGTCCTGCACTATCTGCTAATAATACACAGTCTAAATCCACTTTACACTTTTTGAGATGTCTCAATGACGTGATAAAGGCTCTATATCAAATTCGCGGCTGTTTTTGGGGGGACACTGCTGGGTGCAAACTGGCTGCCGTGTTTCACCCACAAAATACCCAGTCAATCCACTTTACGCTGTGTTCTGTGGAGCGCTTTGATATGTATCATCAACCCGATAAGGCGCTATATCAAATGCAAGAGTTAGTATTTTATTATGATAACAAGGAGTGTTATTAATATGATCAAAGCATCTCAAAGCACGTCACAGTAATTACTGACAACTGTATTGACTGCGTGTAAATGCAGCAGCTGTTCCACACACGGCAAACTGACTCAAATGAGTGGCCAATTTTATCCGGGGGTTGTCAACCAGGACATCGGGAGAGAGGAACTCTCTTACTCCCTTCTCTTCGAATAGTGCTGTGAATCTTTTAATGCCCACCTGAACAGGCACAGATGAGACTGGTCTCCGAGTCCTGCCGATGAGCCAGGCTGGGCTGTGTTGTTATCAGCAGTGCCCTGGAATACTGCGGACCCGCCTGGCTCAGGACCTGGACAAGAGACCATCGCAGAGGGCTGGCTCGATTCCAACATTCTGTTGTCAAACATGTCACCTTGGAGCCAGTTCAGCTTTCTTCCCCCCCACCCCTCCCCAAAGAGGGTACCTCATCTGTAGGAAGGCTTGTTTCTCCGGAGCTCAGTACTGCACTGATAACACTTAATAGTAACAATAATAATTCTTGCATTTTATATAACACCACGTCGTGTCGTTGGGACGTCTCAAAGCACTTCACAGAACATACTGTAAAGTGTATTGACCGTATATTTTGTGGACGAAACCTGGCAGTGTCCCACAAACAGTCATGGATTGAGTACATAGAAATGGATACACACCTTGCCCAGTTTAAATATAGATAAGTATTGAGTTGTGTTGTATTACATGCTTTCCAACGGCAGAAAACTATTTCACACAATGAGTTATCTCAAATCTCAGAAATAATTGTTATGTGGGCAAACTTGGCTGCCAGCAACATCCCACAAGCAGGAATGTGAGACAAGCGGCTAATTAAACTGCCGACTGGATCAGACATCGTAGGTAGCGCACAGCCCTGCCACGGACCACAGTGCACAATGTGTAAACCCGGGAGCAAGGCAAAAAATTACCACTGGCGCCTGACGAAAATTCCTCGACATGGAATGCTTTGCCAACCCCACGGGACCGCAGTCACAAGATAATAATAAATACTTTTATAATAGTCCTTGCATTTGATAAAGTCACGTCGTTGAGACGTCTCAAAGAGCTGCACAGAATATACTTTAAAGTGGAGTGACTATTGTCTGGGCAAATTATAATTTTTTTTTTGGACTGTGTATTTTGTGTGTGAAACGCGGCAACCAGTTGCACACAAACAGTCGTGGATTGAGTGAACCAATTCTTTAATATTTTTTGGAGGGATTATTACCCCAGGAAAGCAATCTGCCACTCGACTAAAACTGGGTTCCTACTTACAGCTGGGTAACTAGAGCCTGTGGAGTAAGGAAACTTGCCTAAGGTTTCGCCCTGCCCGGGAATCGAACCTGGGTCCTATCCCTTACGAGGCGAGTGCTCTAACCACTACAGACTCCCAAGATTTGACCAAAAAGATAATTTCATGGCATTGAATTGTATGCGGCTCAGGTATTTATTTCAGTAAAATTAAAATGCTGGACTGTGCACAGTTGACTGTGCACTTTAATTCGGCTTAATCCATTATTAAATTCTTAGAAATGTAACCTCTTTCAAAACTGCAGCATTGTTTGCTCGGGGCAATCTTGTACCAGTACCAGTTGATCTTTGCCAGCTTGACATCACATCTCAAATAGCAGATAAGTTAAGTCGGGAGTGTGTGCACTAACAGATTCAGCACAGTTCACAGAATTTGGGAAATCACTGCAGAGAAGCTTTGTCAGCCAAGTTTCGCTCACAAAATACACAGCCGATCCACCTTACAATATATTCTGTTTTGGTGGGCTACCACCAGCTCTAGACTGGAGCATGGTGAGGGTGGCTGAGCAGAAGAGCTCCGTGTCCTCGCTTACTGTTGGTGGTGCTAACCTTTGGATGACACATATTTTATGGAGTCCTCGTCTCAAAGCTGTTCACAGAATACACTGTAAAGTGTAGTGACTGTATATTTTGTGGGCCAAACGCGGAAGCCAATTGTGCACAATAGTGTCCCACAAGCAGACGTGGATTAAATGACCAAATTATTCAATCTTTTAAAATAAATTTGAAGGGATTATTACCTCCGGAAAGCGATCCGCCAATCAGCTAACAACCATGTTCCTACTTTTACTGAGGCACGTGGAGCAAGGAAACTTGCCTAATGTTTCTCTCTGTGCAACAGAAGCAATTGTTATGCACTGACCCATTTCTGTCGCTTTCCTCCTGTGTTTGATCCAGGATAAGAAGACTTACACTTGCCCCGTGTGTGAGAAGTCCTTCTCCGACGATCGTCTCATCAAGACTCACATCACCACCTACCACCCAGGTCAGTCGGTGTCCCAAACCCACTGCTCAGCTGTCGTTTCTATCATAAGAACGTAAGAATTTGCTCGGCACAAGAAGACCAAAGGTCCATCTAGTTCGCCTTCCAGCATCTTGGCAATCTCTTTACATGTTGTGTCCCAAGCTATATACTGTATCCCCAGATATTATTATAATAATATTCCTTGCATTTGATGTAGCGCCTTATCACGTCGTCAAGACATTTTATCAATCAGAATAAGGGTCCTTATTCTCACACAGCCAGGGTACTGTCAGAGGGACAGCTTCTCTGCTTTAAACTCTCTTGTTCCTTCCAAGCTCTCAGTGCAACCTTTATCCTCCCTGCCACATCCTCGCTGTGTTCACAGCTACGCTCAGCGCACCAACCACCCAACCCGCCCTCACCAAATTCTCTCCCGCTGTCCGTCTGCAGAGGTCCCCATGAGCACCATCTCGGAGATTCTGGGGAAGCGAGTCCAGCTGAAGGGTCTGATTGGGAAGCGGGCGGTGAAGTGTCCTTACTGTGACTGTTACTTCAGGAAGAACGGCACGGATCTACAGCGCCACATCTGGGCACATGAAGGTATTGGGGGGGGGGGGGGGGGGGGGAGAACTACCTGGTATTAAGAATACTACTGATAATAACCCTTGCATTTGATATAGCACTGTATCACTTTGTTGAGACAGCTCAAAACGCTTCACAGAATATATTGTAGGGTGGATTGGCTGTGTATTTTGTGGGTTAAACTTGGCAGCCAATTGAGCGCAGCAGCGTCCCACAATCTGTCTTCGAATTGAATGATCGTTAATTTTTCTTGGAGGAATTATTACCGCCATTGATTGATCTGCCAATCAACTAACAGCCGGGTTCCTACTTACTGCTAGGTAAACAGAGGCGCATGGAGTAAGGAAACGTGCCTAAGGTTTTGCCCCGGCCGAGAATCGAACCTGGGTTCTCCCGCTTGCGAGGCGAGCGGTCTAATCATTATGCTACAGGGCTCCACAATATCAACATGGGCGCCATCGGAGGTCAAGTGTTCTATTAACACTGCATTGTAGTTTTGGTCTAGATTTCAAGTCAAAAGTCCCGATGTGGGCCTTGAATCCACAGGTAGGCCGATTATTGCATAACTGTTGCATTACATTAATAGATTAGAAATTGTTTTATTACACTGTAAATCTCCCCTGAAGCATTATTTGGAAATGTATTGTTTATCTGAACAGCTGTAAACTATCAGTTAATCGAATAAACCAAGCTGGACTTTGAAACTTCAAATGGGCTGCCTTGCTCTGCCCACAAATCTACAGTCCAAATCACGTTAGAATCTCTCCTCCAGCCTCCATAACAGCAACAGCTGGTGCGATAGAGGAGCAGAGCACAAAGGAGATAGGAGGAAAACTATTTTTGTGATCTCTTTGCTCACTAGAGTATAATGATAATCCTTGCATTTGATAGAGCACCTTATCACGTTGTCGAGATAATAATAATAATAATAATAATCCTTCCATTTGATATAGTGCTTTTCGCGTCGGGAGGACGTCCCAAAGCGCTTCACAGAACACATTGTAAAGTGAATTGACTGTATATTTGTGGGCGAACGCGGCAGCCGATTGCGCACAGCAATGTCCCACAAACAGTCGTAGATAGAAAATGACCAATTTATTATTGTTTTGGGTTTTGGAGGGTTTATTATTAGGCTCTGTGTGGAGTAAGGAAACTTGCCCAAGGTTTCGCCCTCTGCCTGGAATTGAACTCAGGTCTCTCGCTTGCAAAGCGAGTGCTCTAACCACTGAGCTACAGGACCCCACTTAAAATTGTATTACCAGCCTATATTGCGTCCCCTCATTCTTTCTTCCAAAACTGTAAACTTTATACTGTAAAGTGGATTTACTATGTATTTTGTGGCCGAAACGCAGTTGCCGATAGCGCACAGCAGCGTCCCACAAACAGTCGTGGATTGAGTGACCACATTTTTGGACGGTAGTTTTTGGGGAGGAGGGATTATTACCCCCAAGAAAGCGATGTAACAACCGGGTTCGTACTTACTGTTAGGTAAACAGAGGCGTGTGGAGTATGGAAACTTGCCTAAAGTTTCGCCCTGCCCGGGAATCGAACCTGGGTCCTCTCACTTGCGGGGCGAGTGCTCTAGCCACTACACCATACTGTTTCTTCCTGTGTTGCCTCTGGGGATCTGCTTGCTCACAAATTGTCTGCCAGAAACCAGTGTCCGAATGGGGCTTCCTTCCTGGAGTGATCTCCCTTAGTCTAGTGGTTAGAGCGCTTGCCTTGCAAGCGAGAGGACCTGCGTTCGATTCCTTGGCAGGGCGAAACCTTAAGCAAATTATTAATTATGATTGATTGTTATTAATTATTAATCTTTAGATTTGGTATTTAGTCAGGATGATGCCAAAAGCACTTACAGCATTTACTGCAAATAAAGAAATAAATTTACTCAAGTTTATTGGTGGATCACTTTCAATTGGTGGATCACTTTCTGGGGGGTGATGATCCCTCCAAGAAAAAAAAATGTGGTCACTGAATCTATGACTGTTTGTTGGACACTGCTGTGCGCAATTGGCTGTGCAGTGTCTCGCCCACAAAATACCTCCATCCACTCCATTTTACAGTATATTTCTATGAAGCGCTTTGAGACATCTCAACGAGGTGGTAAAAGGCACAGTATCAAATGAAAGGATTATTATTATTATTCCTCTGTTTCCTTCTTTCAAAAGATAGGTAGATGAAAACGAAAAATTTGCAAGGGTATGGGGAAAGAACGGATAAGTGGGACTGATTGGGTAGCTCTTCCAAATGGGCGATGGGCCGACTGGCCTCCTTCTGTGCTGTGATTCCTATGATTCTGAAAGTTTCTGTGGAAGACAAACTCGATGGACCTTGTTCTTGTTTTGTCTAGCGATTCTTATATTCTCTTGTTCCTCCTGCTCAGGGGTGAAGCCGTTCAAGTGCTTGTCCTGCGAGTACGCCACGCGCAGCAAGAGTAACCTCCGCGCCCACATGAACCGACACAGCACCGAGAAGAGCCATCTCTGTGACCTGTGCGGGAAGAAGTTCAAGTCGAAGGGCAGCCTGAAAAGCCACAAACTGCTGCACACGGCTGATGGTGAGTAATGCTGCTCCGCCTACAGTGGAGATCCTGTAGCTCAGTGGTTAGGGCACTCGCCTCGCAAGCAAGAGATCCCTGGCTCGATTTCTGGGCAGGGCTAAATGTTGGGCAAGTTTCCTTACTCCACACTCCTTTGCTTATTTAGCAGTAAAATACTTTACAGTATATTCTGTGAAACGCTTTGACACGTATCAACGACGTGGTAAGGCGCTATATCAAATGCAAGGATTATTATTTACATTTCACCACTGTACTTACAAAATGAACTTTCTCTGAGTTGGACCCAAAAAAAAGTATAATAGATTCTCTTAAAGTATACCTTACATTTAGAATTATTTGCATAACAGATGCGTAAGATTGTTAATGGGGCTCATAAACTGCTGGGAGTCGAGATAACATTTAATGGTGGATGATAAGCAGCAAGGTTAGGTGTAAGGGGCAGCGTGGATTTTTATTTTGATCAGCCAGGTAGGTATCTGGCACATATGGAAATCCATCACCCTGCTTAAGAGTCTCCAAACCAAACTGGGAATTCCATGCATCCCACCTACACATAAGATGGACACTCTTTCCCTGGAGGGACTCACCCTGCTTACCTAATTCCAGAGAGTTTTAAGAGCAGGTTGGCAAGAGCCAAGGCTTGGGGACCCCAGAGTGTGGGTTTGGGTAACTGCTGGAGTCTAACCAGCTAAATCCGCACAGCTTGCCATTTATATTGCCGTCTGGCAAGTTTCCTGCTGCTTGTCCAGCTAGGACCACCCTACCACTCTACCCGTTAGCGCTTTGGCTTGCAGGGCTAACCTGAGCTGAATAGGATGACTTTCTGGCTCCAGTGACTGGTCTGTCCTTCCAAGTCCTGCCGATGGGCCAGGCTGGGCTTTGCTGTCAGCAGCAGTGCCCTGGAATGCTGTGTCTGGCTCAGGAACAGGACTGCAGCACAGAAGCAAGGCATGGTATTGGACCTCCAGCACCTCCTTGGATGGTCCACTCACATGTTTACATCTCTCTCTCCTTCTCCTGTAGAGGAATTCAATATGAACTGTTTGCTCACTCTCCCTCCCCCTCATAGACACGGAAACTGGGAACAGCCCTTTGCCATGTGTCCTGATCCACATAAAATATTGTTGTTGCTTCTGTCTCTCCTGTGTTACGTTATCGGAGGCGCCGTGCTTCAGATGAGACGTTAAACCGAGGTCTTGTCTGTGCCTCTTCAGGTGGATGTTATAGATCCCGCGGCGCTATTGGAAAAGAGAAGGGAATTTCTCTTACCCGGTGTCCTGGCCAGCAATCCCCCAGATAAAATTGGGCAATCATTCCATGGCTATTTGTGGGACATTGTTGTGTACAAACTGCCTGCTGCATTTGTCTTCAAATACACAGACAGCCAATCCACTTTTCAGTAATTCCTGTGAAGCGCTTTCAGATGCCTCGACGATGTGGTAAGGCTCTATATCAAATAAAGTATTATTATATTATTATTATCCACTCCATAAATCCCATTGCCATCATGCACCTGTCTAATTTCCTTGCAGTATATTAGATAAGAGAGCAACACTAATGCCTCCAAAAAAAGTAGTAATAAATACTCGCTCAACCCATGACTGTTTGTGGGACACTGCTGTGCGCACTAAATGAATTGCATTTCATTTAGTGTGCACAGCAGTGTCCCACTTTAAACTGAGTGCAGTTTAAACTCACACTCAGGAAAGCATTCTGGTTGCCTGCACATGTTTAAATATTGTCTAAGTGAAACCTCAACTTTCTCTAGATATTTTCGTACATTTTGTTTCATGTGTCTTACAAAGCTCTGCTTTGGATACTCACAAGGAAGGCAGTAGTTTTCCATACGTGTCTGATAGACAGCTGGTTGAAAAGGGCATTGTGCAACTGAAAGGAACAGGCTTGTTTAAGGTTAAATAATAATCCTTTTATTTGATATAGCGCCTTATCACGTTGAATCATCTCACAGAACATACTGCAATGGATTGACTGTATTTGGTAGGCAAAACATGGCAGCCAATTGTATACAGCAGTGTCCCACAAATAGTTGTGGATTGAATGATCAAATTATATTTCTTGAAGAGATTATTATTTCAAAGCGATCCCCCAGTCGACTAACAACCGGGTTCCAACTTACTGCTAGATAAACAGAGGCGCGTGGAGTAAGGAAACTTGCCTAAGGTTTTGGCCCACTCAGGAATCGAACCCAGGACCTCTCACCCGCGAGACAAGCGCGGTAACCATCCTCTACGGGTCTTACTGGAAAAGTCAATTGGCTCCACAAGTTAACAGGGTTTTTTGCCTTTCATTTCCTTACAGGCAAACAGTTTAAGTGCACTGTGTGCGACTACACGGCAGCTCAGAAACCAAATCTTCTACGGCACATGGAGCAACATGCGGCCTTCAAGGCAAGACTAACTTTGGTTCAGTTCGCAACGTTTCCTCTTGAAAGAATGCTGTGCAGACTCCCCGCAGGGTTGTATCACGCGATTGTTCGGTTGCGACGCCTTGTGTTCTCGGCGCTCCCTTCCTGTAGGACAGGGTGGTCCACTCTTCTGGTTGCTGGGGGCCTGATCCCTAGTTGAGAAATGCCGCATAAGCAAACATTTTTGTGTTTCCCTTCCAGAAACATAACAACATTTTTGAGAAGTGTTGCACAAGCGCCATTTTGGGGTTTTTCGAGGGGGCGGGTGGGTCAGATGAAATGGAGGGAAAGGGGGTAGACTTGGATGGAATCGGCCCGTGGGCCACATGTGGCCTGCTGGCCGCCAGTTGGACCACTCTGTTGTTGGGTAACCTCTCGGAGCGCTTTACATAGATAAAGCGAGATGACTTTGCCGTTGCCCAAGGCACGTTCAAAGAGGAGGGGCTGAAAGGCAGAAAGGGAGGGATAGAAGAATAGAGTTCCCAAGCTTAGGAACAAAAAAACAGGGGGAGGTCATTCAGCCTTCGAGCCTGGTCTGAATTCTATTAGATCATAGCTGATCTGTTCCTCTCTTTTTAAGTACTGTACTTTTTTTTTTGGCCCAATTCAGAGAAAGTTCATTTTGTAAGTATAGGCGTGAAAAGTAAATAATAATAATAATAAAAACAATAATCCTTGCATTTTATACAGCGCATTATCACATCTTCGAGACGTCCCAAAGCGCTTCACAGAATATACTGTAAAGTGAATTGACTGTATATATTGTGGGCGAGCCGTGGCAGCCAATTGCGCACAGCAGCGTCCCCACAAACAGCCGTGGGTTGGGTGAATTATTATTATTGAATTATTATTATTTTTTGGAGGGATTATTACCACCGGAAAGCGATCCGCCAATCAACTAACACCCGGGTTCTTACTTTCTACTGGGTAGAAAGAGGCGCGTGGAGTAAGGAAACTTGCCTGAGGTTTTGCCCGACCCGGGAATCGAGTGCGGGCCCCCTTGCTTGCGAGGGGAGCGCTCTAACCACTACGCTACAGGACTCCTGTTGTTGCCAGTCGCTGCGGGTGTTGTCTTCAGTGTGCTTCCCTGAATTTACCATAAAACGTTTGCTCATTCTTTGCCCCAGCCTTTCCGATGTGCTCTGTGTCACTATTCCTGTAACATGGCTGGATCACTGAAGAGACATTACCACAAGAAACACCCCAACGAGGAGTACGTGAATGCAGGCACCGGCGTGCTGGCTCAGGAGAGCGTGGCTCAACAAGGTACACAAACTGCTGCTCATTCAACCCGGCCGGGTGCGAGATCCAGGAGGAATCATCCTTGACCTTGCCAGGTGCCATCCTTCAGATCAGACGTTAAACCGAGGCCTGTCCATAAGGTGGTGGTTAAAGATTCCTGTAGCGTAGTGGTTAGAGCACTCGCCTCGCTAGCAAGAGGACCTGGGTTCAATTCCCGGACAGGGCTGTTTGTGTGGACACTGCTGTGCGCAATTGGCTGCCGCGTTTCGCCCACAAAACACTCAGTCAATTCACTTTACAGTATATTCTGTGAAGCGCTTTGAGGCATCTCCATGGTGTGAAAAGGCGCTATATCAAATGCAAGGAATATTATCATTATCCTGAGTGTTTTTCTGTCTTAAGGTGGTGTGAAGTGTCCGGTGTGCAGCTTTGTGTACGGTACCAAGTGGGAGCTGAACAGACATCTGAAGAACAAGCACGGTCTGAAGATTGTGAGCAGTGTAGAAGGAGAAACCGTAGGTCTCTTGTTACAAGAGATCCCAGTTTGTTTGATGTGTTCAAGGACCTTAGACTTCCTGAGTGATTGATTTGTTTCACCCACAAAATACACAGTCATTTCACTTTACAGTACATTCTATGAAGCGCCTCGAGACATCTCAGCGACATGATATGACGCTATTATTATTATTATTCAAATTACTCGCGGGAGTGTGTTAAAAGTATCCAGTGCAGCCCTTGGATTTTTTTGGGTCAGCCGGGTGTCTGACACATCTGTTTACCTAATTCCATAGAGTATTAAGCGCAGGTTGGCAAGAGCCAAGGCTTGGGGACCCCAGAGGGTGCATTGGGGTAACTGCTGGAGTCTAACTAGTTAAAATCATTGAGAGCAGTGTCTGGTAAGCTTTCCTTGCAGTTACGACCACCGTACCTGTTAGGGCTTTGGCTTGCATGGGCTAACAGGAGCTGAGTGGGCTGACTTCCTGCCTCCAGTGACTGGTCGGCTCTTCCAGGTCCTGCCGATGAGCCAGGCTGGGCTGTGCTGTCATCAGCAGTGAGTGCCCTGGAATACTGCAGCCCCTCCTGGCTCAGGAACCGGGACTAGAGACTTGACACAGAGGGCTGGCTCGATTCCATTATCAAACACGTCAGTCAGCTACAAGGAGAACGCTTACCTCATACAGTTTACAGAGCTGTAAAGATTTGTTATCTAAATGAGGGCAATACTGTATACATTCTATATCCCATGTACCTTGGGTTGATATTTATTTCTTCAATAAAAACATAAATCCTAAATCCTTTTGGTTCCATAAACTTACAATTGACCTTTAGGTTCCATAAACTTACTCCCATTAACGCATTAGAAAATGTTAAGTAGAGTCCATTACATAAGAACCATTTAGCAGTTTGTTTCTAAAATGAACTAGACACGTGTCTCTTGCAGCAGTTACCCCAACGCACACTCTGGGATTATTATTATTATTATTAATAACACGGTCACTGCACTTGACAGGATTTGCTTAAAAAGCACTTGGAGATGTAATACCGTTAATGCCAAATGCCTTGTGTAGTGAGAATCGGGGTACAGCACTCGGGATAGTGATTACAGATGTCTTTGTGATTGTGCACAGCAGGTTCTGGAGGCTCCCCCAGACCAACCTCAAACCCAGTACTTCCACATTGCGGAGAGTGAGGAGGATATGCAGGGGACGCAGGAAGCTGTGGCAGCCCTGCAGGACCTGCGATACAACACCGAGAATGGTGAGAGAACCAAGGCTCGTCTGTCTGAGAGGCTCAGGCCTCGGGGCCCCTTTATTAAGCCTAGAGCGCGACTTTAGTTAGACCTCTGGGGACTCTGTGCAACAACAGGTGGAGGAGTCCTGTAGCTCAGTGGTCAGAGCACTCGCCTCGCAAGCAAGAAGACCCGGGTTCGATTCCTGGGTGGGGTGAAACCTCAGGCAAGTTCCCTTACTCCACACGCACTCCTCTGTTTCCCCAGCAGTCAGTAGGAATCCGGTTGTTAGTCCAATGGCAGATCGCTTCCCCTCCCCCCCCCCCAATTAAAAATTTGGTCACACAATCCATGATTGTTTGCGGGACACTGCTGCGCGCAATTTTCCCACAAAATACATGGTCACCGCACTTTACATTCTGTGAAGCACTTCGAGACCTCTCAATGATGTAATAAGGCGTTATAATAATAATGTTATATCAAATGCGAGGATTATTATTAACAAAAACAAATTGAATTTATATAGCGCTTGTCGCCTCGGCCAAGGCTCGGGGGAACCCGGAGTGTGTGTTGGGGTAACTGCTGGAGTCTAACCAGCTGAAAGCACATATCTTGCCATTGAGAGGGCTGTCTGGCCAAGCTTTCCCGCTGCTTGTCCAGTTCAGATCATCCTACCCGTTAGAGCTTTGACTGCAGGGTTAACAGGAGCTGAGTAGGAGGATTCCCTGCCCCCAGTGACTGGTCTGCCCTTCCAGGTCCTGGTCCTGCAGATGAGCCAGGCTGGGCTGTGCTGTGCTGTCATCAGCAGTGCTCTGGAGTATTGCAGACCCGCCTGGCTCGGGAACCCAGGCGCTGCTGGAATAGCCATGAGGGCTCTGGCTTGCAGTGTTAACAGGAGCTGACCTTGCCTTGTGCTCCTAGGGGAGAGGATGGATTCTGCAGCTGTGAATATCCTACAGCAGATTATCGGCCTGGCTCCAGAGCATCCTGATGCTACCGTGGTCACCATGGCACCGGGCACACTGACTGTCGTGGAACAGGTAAAGATCTCATTTCTTCAACTCTCCTCGTTGAGTCCTGTAGAGTAGTGGTTAGCACACTCGCCTCGCAAGCGAGAGGCCTGGGATCGATTCCCGGGCAGAGCGAGACCTGAGGCAAGTTTCTTTACTCCACACACCTCTGTTTACGCCTCCGCAATAAGTAGGCACCTGGTTATTAGTCGATTGGCGGATCGCTATTCCGGGGGTAATAAGCCCTTCAAAAAAAATCGGTCACTCAATCCACGACTTTTTGTGAGACACTGTCGTGCACAATTGGCTACCGCGATTCACCCACAAAATATACAGTCAATTCACTTTAAGTATCTCCTGTAAAGCCGCTTTGAGACGTCTCAATGATGAGATAAGACCTGATATCAAATGCAACCGTTATTATTATAGCATGAAAAAATGGTCCGAATGGTCCTTTGTCATACATTTCTGTGATTCGATGGAAGGCAGTCAAAGGCCAGGGTAAGAGGTTAGGAAAGCGAAACTGAAGCCACCACCAACAAATGACATTTACACGGCGTCTTTCAAGTCAGGAGGACGTCCCAAGGCGCTGGTCAGTCAGGGATTTGGACCTGAGCTGGGGGGGTGGGGGGGGGTTGGGATCAGGAGGGGGTGGAGGCCAGAAATCATCATTTCTTCAAGACGTGTCAAAGCCCTTCGCAGAATATACCGTAAAGTGAATTGACTGTATATTTTGTACATTATTATAAATAATATATCATTATATAACATATTATAATCGAATAATAATGATTATAATAATAGGAATACTAATAATCAAAGTCAGGGTCCTTTCACTTGCGAGGCGAGAGCTCTCACCACTACCCTATGGGTCTACACAGCAAGAATTATTATTATCGTTACGGAGAGGCCACAAGCTGAGCTGACGGCTGTGTTTTCTCTCTCTGTCTCTCTCTCTCTTCCTCTCCCTCTCTCTCTCTCTCTCTCTCTCCTCCCTCCACGGCAGGCCGAGGCAGAGGAGGCCGCTAGCCACACAGTGATGATCAGACAGGCCCTGGAGCAGGGCGGGGTGGAGCTGGTGGAGCAGGTGGTGGTCTCTGCGGACGAGGTGGAGGGCATCGAGACGGTGACCGTGTACACCCAGGGCGACCAGGCTTCCCAGTTTATCGTCTACGTGCAGGAGGCTTTGCCCAGTGCTGCCGGCGGCGGGGGATGCCAGGACGGGGGGGAGGGGGAGGCCGCCCAGCGGGACCCCGAGTCATAGCCGGCTCCTCCGTCCACATCGCACTGTGGCCAAAACCCCCTACTGCTCCCCTCTGGGCAGCTCTGCTCTGTACGCAGCAAATGCAGGGAGAGACGGGAGAGAGAAAGAGAGCGAGCGAGCGAGAGAGCAGGGGAGGGAGGGAAGAAGAGAGGGGGCTGGAGTGAGAGGGGAGGGCAAGAGAGAGAAAGGGAGACAGGGAAAAAACAGAGGGGGTGGGCAAGGGAAAGAGTGAGGAGAGAGAAGAGAGGGGGAAGGAGGGAAGGAGAGGGGCTGGAGCGAGGGGGAGGGCAAGAGAGAAAGACGGAGAGGGAGACAGAGGGTGGAGGGGGCAAGGGAGAGAGTGGAGAGAGAGAAGGGGGGGGAAGGAGGTAGAGGGGTGAAAGAGAGAGGGGAGGGAGGGAGAGAAAAAGAAGTGGGGGCGAGAGAGATAGGGAGGGGGAGTGGCGGTTCTCTGTAAAAGCAGCGACCTCAAGAATAGCAGAGCTAAGGCCGAGGAGCAGAGCACAGCCTGTGTTACTTCGGATTATGTTTTTTTTTTGCTCTTGGCCCCCCCATCCTCAGCCCCCCTCTCCCCGCCCCCCCACCATGTGCCTGTGTATATATGGAGGGAATATGTGTGTATATATAAATACGGGGGCTGGGCAGGGGGTGTGCATGTGTATATATATATACATATATATATATATGTGGAGGAATATACATATACTTGTGTGTGTGTGTATTTGGGGGGGGGCGAGTATGTAAGTGTGTGTATATATATATATGCGAGGGGGCTGTGCAAGGGGAGTGTGCATGTATATACAGTGGGAATGTGTGTATGTATATACAGATATACACACTTTGGGGGAATAGGTCTGTATGTGCGGGGGAATGTGTGTATATAGATATATATGTGTGTGGGAGGAGTGTGCGCGTATGTGTGTATACGGAGGGAGTATGCGTATGTGTGTATATATATATAAGAGTGGGGAGTGCATGTGTGTGTATATATATATGGGGGAGTGTGTGTGTCTCGAGTGCGCACGTGTGCTGCAAGTGTGTGCGGGGGGCGCGGGGAGTGTGCGCATGCGTGCTGTGTACATGGGGTGGGAGAGTGTGCATGTGTGCTATATGTGCCTGGGGTGGGTGGGGTGGGGTGAGGGGTGGGGTGGGGGCGGCGTGTGTGTGCGTCTGACTTTGCGTGTGTTTCAGAAGACGGATTATGTAGCAGTGTCCCATTGACGGCACTGTGGAGTGCAGTGGTGATTTGAATCACGGTTGGGGATACCTTGCGGGGGAGGAGGGGAGGGGGTGGAGAGAGAGAGAGAGAGAGAGAGAGAGAATATTCTTATTTGAACCTGGCAGTGGCACTGGGCTACCCCGAGTGCCCAAAACCAGGGAAGCAGTGAAGCTCACAGGTAGGAGAGGGTCAGGCCAGTGTCTTATTCTGTGAATGAATTACAGAACGAGAGGATTGACGCACCAAATAAAGGATGGAAAACAAGGTCATGTTATTTTGTACTTTTTCTTTGTTATTCCAGAATGTCCGATCTCTCAGGCCAACACCCAAGGTGGTCCTGCCTTTATAAACTCCTGCAGCTCAGCGGTCAGAGCACGCGCCGAGCCAGTGAGAGGACCCGGGTTCGATTCCCGGGCAGGGCGCAACGTTGGGCAAGTTTCCTCTACTCCACGCACCTCGGTTTACCCAGAGGAAGTAGGAACCCGGTTGTTAGTCGATTGGCGGATCGCTTTTCCAGTCAATCCAAAAAAAACATTATTTGGTCATTCAATCCACGACGCTGCTGTGCGCAATTGGCTGCCGCGTTTCACCCACAAAAGTACACAGTCAATTCACTTTACAGTATATTCTGCGAAGCGCTTTGAGACGTCTCATCAAGTGACCGGATTATAATTTTTTTTTAACCCCTGGAAAAGCAATCGAGTAACTAACAACCGAGTTCCTACTTACTGAGGTAAACAGGTGTGTGGAGTAAGGAAAGTTACCTAAAGTTTTGTCCCGCAGGGGGAATCAAACCCACATTCTCTTGCTTCAAGGAAGGCGATCTCGCTAACCACTATGCTACAGGACTCCACATGTTGAGCGATCAAAAACACCCATCAACAACCCACATCAAACTACTACTCTGTCTCTCCCTCCACCACACCCCACCCATACCCTCTTCCTCACATTACATTTGCTTTGTTCATGTCAAGTTGATTGGGTAGGGATTTTCGAAGTCCAAACTTGATTAGGAATGTTTTAATAATAATAATAATCCTTGCATTTGATATAGAGCCTTATCACGTCATTGAGACATCTCAAGGCGCTTCACAAAACATACTGTGAAGTAAATTGTGGGCGAAATGTGGCAGTGAATCGCGAACAGCAGTGTCCCACAAACGAATTATGATAATTATTCCCAGAAAGGGATCCGCTAATCGACTAACAACCGGGTTCGTTTTTTGATAAAGCCAAAATCTTGAAATAAAATCTCGAGAATGTCAGCAGTGACAGCTTGAATGTTTAGTAAGTTAAGAAGAAAAGCTGTTACTTAGTTTGTGTCGGTAACTTTACGTCAGCGTTGGCTCACGCCTGAAGACTCATCTAACAATTAACAGGGCGAGGACTTGCAAATCGCTACAGATCCATGTCGACAGTAGTAATTATAGCAATTGATATAGCGCGACCACGTCGTTGAGACGTTTCAAAGAGCTTCACCAAATATACTGTAAAGTAGAATGACTGTGTAATTTGTGGGCGAAACACGGCAGCCATCTGCGCACACCAGTGTCCTACAAACAGCCAATGAGTGAGAGACGGTTATTTGTGTGGGGATGGGGGGGGGGGAATTGTTGACCAGGACATTGGGAGAGAGAAGCTTTTTTCGAATCGTGCCGTGGGTTTCTTTGACTTCCACCGAACAAGACCTCGGTTTAAAGGCACCTCCGACCATGCAACGCCCCCCCACCCCCCCTTAAGGGGTTGACACTTATCCCTAAGAAAGAGAAGCCTAATAACTTGTGTTCCAATACAGCGCCTTATCACATCATTGAGACATCTCAACGACAACAGCAAATTACACTTGTACAGCGCCTTTCACCACAGGGGGACGTCCCAAAGTGCCGGACGGTCGGGCTTTATTCCAGCGAGATCGGTTGACATCAACACCGGAATAAAATGCAAGAATTCAACGAGGTTCCAGAACCATCCCGGGCTTTCAAAGCGCGCGTTACCTCACGGGTTCGTTCCGAAGCACATTTCCCCTCAAAAGTGGTTCTATGCCATTTGAAAAATTCGACAGCGTAACCGCGATTCCCTTCGCTGGTTTTTTTTTTTGCTGGACCTGGTCGGACCAAAGCAGAACATGCGCAGAAAACGATTCATCATCAGGGAAATAATCTGTACCTATTCAGCTTTGGTCCCACCGGCTTCATGCAGTAAAGTGAAAATGACTGTATATTATGGGGGCGAAAGGCAGCAGTTAATTACGCACAGCGGTGTCCCGCAAACAGTCGTGGATTGAGTACCTCATTTATTTAGGAGCGGAAGGATTATTACCCAGGAAAGCGATCCACCAATCGACAAGCTACCGGGTTCCTATTCACCGCTAGTTAAACAGGTATGTGGGGTAAGGGAACTTGCTCGAGGTTTGGCCCAGCCCGGGAATCGAATCCGGGTCCTCTCGCTTGCGAGTTGAGTGTGCTGACCACTATGCTATGGTGGTGCACAACAACAACTTGCATTTATCCCGCGCCCTTCACCCAGGGCAGTGCCTCGGAGCGCCCAACAGTGTTGGAGCCTGATTCCGAGCCAGAGGGGTGGGTGGTGAGGGATGGGGGGGGTCGGAGGGAAGGGAAGAGATGACCGTAAACACAGTGGAAGAGGAATGTCTTCAATCGTGATCTAAAAGACTTGGGTGTCATCCACATATATGGGGAAGTTAACCCCATGCAAGTGGAAGGGGGAATCAAGGGAGAGAGTTTCAAAGCTGCGGGGAGTAGTGGCCGAAAGCACGGCCTTCAACGGTGGAGCGTAGAGCGCGACGAGGAGGCTAGAGCCAGCCGAGCGGAGGCAGCGGGTAGCGGAGCGGGGAGAGAGCAGGTCAGAGATGTAGGGAGGTGCCAAGAAGAAAGAGAAGTTTGCCTGCTACCTGACCATTAGACTTTCACCTCAGTGACCTGCTGTAGCTGAGCATCATCTAATTCAATGCCTGAACAGGCTCGAAGGGCTGAATGACCTCCTCCTGTTCCTATGTTCCTATGATCCCTGTAGCTTAGCGATTAGAGCACTCGCCTCGCAAGTCAAAAGGACCTGGGTTTGATTCCCAGCCAGGGAGAAACGTGCAAGTTTCCTTGCTCCACACGCCTCTGTTTACCTAGGAACCCCGTTGTTAGTCAATTGGCGGATCGCTTTCCGGGAGGGTAATAATCCCTTAAAAAAAAACACTCCTAAATATATGAGGAACTCAATTTGGATTATTATTAAGTAAACACAAGGTTTACGATTTAAAATTTCCACTGAACACAATTAGATGATCTTTGCCAGCCACACCTTTTATTCTGAGTTATAATAATAATAATAATAATATTAATAATCCTTGCATTTGATATAACGCCTTGTCATGTCAGTATACAGAATATACTGTAAAGTGAATTGACTGTATATTTTGTGGGTGAAACGTGGCAGCCAATCTCGCACAGCAGCGTCCCACAAACAGCCGTGGATTGAGTGACCAAATTACTATTATTTTTTTTTGGACAGAATTATTACCCCCGGAAAAGCGAGCAACTAACAATTGGGCTCCTACTTCCTGCTGGTAAACAGAGGCGTGTGGAGAAAGGAAACTTGCCCAACATTTTGGGAATCAGCCCCAGGTCTCTTGCTTGCGAGGCGAGTGCTCTAACCACTGAGCTGCATGACTCAATAATAATCCTTGCATTTGACATAGAGCCTTATCATGTCATTGAGATCTCAAGCATTTCACAGAATATAATGTAAAGTGAATTAGCTGTGTATTTTGTGGGCAAAACACAGCAGCCAATTGCGCACAGCAGCGTCCTCGCAAACAGCTGTGGATTCAGCGATCGCATGTTTTTTTTAAGGGATTATTACCCCCAGAAAGTGATTCACTAATCAACAAAACAAAACCAGGGCTAGGT